CACACACACTCTCTCTCTCTCTCTCTCTCTCTCTCTCTCTCTCTCTCTCTTTCACACACACACACTTAAAAATAGGAAAACTAGATGGAAGCACTCCATCCACCAAGAAGGGTCTGGGACCCAACAGAATCCTGGATTTCAGAGCCACACTGCAGGGGACAGTTCTTTCCCTCCTGGGCATGCCTGAAATCCCAGCCACCCTGGGTTAACTTCCTGCCTGTGTGAGAGATTTCTTGTACAATATCCATGTGCTTGGTTCACACCCCAACTCTGGTCTGACCCGACTCCTCCCATTACAGGACTATGTCCCTGTGGAGGGTGAGCTGCTGTTCCAGCCAGGGGAGACCTGGAAGGAGTTGCAGGTGAAGCTCCTGGAGCTGCAGGAAGTAGACTCTCTCCTGCGTGGCCGCCAGGTCCGCCGCTTCCACGTCCAACTCAGCAACCCTAAGTTTGGAGCCCGCCTGGGCCAGCCCAACCCAGCCACCGTCATCATTGGAGAGCAAGGTGAGCATGTTGAACAAGGGGTCAAGATAAGCAGGTGGAGAGGGTGCTGAGGACAGGACTCCAGACTGACTCACACATGAACCCAGGGCACCTGGTCTAATGGGAATGTCACACATCACCAGCACCAGGGTCATACACAAGTGTTGCCTGCAATATTTGGAATGTATGTATCCCTGTTTTGCCTGAGACAGCATCTCACTATGTAGCCTTGGCTGATCTGGAGCTCACTGTGTAGACTAGACTAGCCTTGAGCACCTAGAAATCCACCTAGAAATCTGCCTCCAAGTGGACTACAGAAGTGCCTCCATGTCCAGCTCATATTTAATCTTTTAACCTGTGTGTGTGTGTGTGTGCGTGTGTGTGTGTGTGTGTGTGTGTGTGTGTGTGCTTTGTATGTGGGACTCAGGGCTCAAGCTCTGACAGCAAGTACTTTTCTTGCCAGCCCCATTCTTATTCTTTTTAAAATTTAATATAGTTTTACTATTTTAAATTATTCATATATTTGTGTGCCTGTGCACCTGAGTGCTGGTACCTACTGAGTTCAGAAGAGGGGTTCGATCCCCCGGAGCTGGGGGTAAGGTAAACCTGTTGAATGCTGGAACCAAACTGTAAGAGCAGTATATAGTCTTAACTGCTAACCCATCTCTCCTGTGGTCTGGAATTCAGATTTATCTATGTATCCTGTGCCTGAGCTGGCCACCCTCATGACAACCACAGGCTGAGGTCTTGTGGCTACTAGACCCCAAGCACTGCCCCAGCCTTATGCACACATCCCTGGGAGAGAGCAAGATGGGTAGTGATGGGAGAGGGGAGTAGATTTCTCTATAGAACATTCCCTGGTCTTCCAAGACAAAAAGAAGGCAGATGAGTCCCTCCTCCTCCTCCTCCTGCTCCTCCTCCTGCTCCTCCTCCTGGGATGGTTAACTAGGTCTCTGGCGCCCCCTGTTGGTAAACTGTTAAACCAGATGCCCGCCACACCTCTTTGACTAGATGAAGCGGACAAGAGCTTTACAAATCGGGACCTTTCTTCATCACCACCACCCCGCGGGGACCTGGGTGCCCCACAGAACCCCAATGCCAAGGCTGCTGGGTCCAGGAAGATCCATTTCAACTGGCTGCCCCCTCCCGGCAAGCCAATGGGGTACAGGGTAAGGTGAGGGGCACTGGGGAGGTCGCTCACCTTCAGCTGGTGAGTGGATTGCCCCCAACGGAGCCGGAGGGCACATTTGGTACCAGTGGGTTCCCCCTCTGTGACCCTGCAAATGGGAAGACCCATTCCTGAGTTCTTCAGCTTCAGGCCTCCTCCCCTTGCTGGAATGGGGTCTTCCCCCTGCCTGGGAGACCCCTTGCTCTGCCCCTAGCCTTGCTGGGAGGTGCCAGCCTCTCATATACAAAGGGGATCCCAGCGCTGGCTGCTTCCCACTGAGCACCTGCCCACAGGTGAAGTACTGGATCCAGGGCGACTCTGAGTCTGAAGCCCACCTGCTGGACAGCAAGGTACCCTCGGTGGAGCTCACCAACCTGTATCCCTATTGCGACTACGAAATGAAGGTGTGCGCCTACGGGGCACAGGGTGAGGGGCCCTACAGCTCCCTGGTGTCCTGCCGCACCCATCAGGAAGGTGAGTCTTAGTGATGTCTCTGTCCACCCAGCTACTCTGCTGTCCATGTGCCCAGTCCCCCTCCCCGGCCTCAGTCTTCCCCCCTACCTCCCAGAGCTCGGCCCTGCCACTGACCCACTAATAGGGCTCTTCCTGCTTCCTCCCAGTACCCAGCGAGCCGGGGCGACTGGCTTTCAATGTCGTCTCTTCTACGGTGACCCAGCTCAGCTGGGCTGAGCCAGCTGAGACCAATGGAGAGATCACGGCCTACGAGGTCTGCTACGGACTGGTCAACGAGGACAACCGTAAGGACCAGGGTTCCCTGACCTCCTAGAGAAGGGGCGCAGAGCCAGAGGAAGGGGTGGGGTCTAGATAGTTCCTGTTCCTGGGCACTCTAGGCCCCTTTGCCCCAGTCAAGCAGCAAGCCTGAGGCATTGCATGTTTTTGTTTTGGTCAGGTTTATGCTGGTTTGCATTCCAAGGGTACTGACTTTATGCATGTTCACTAGGGTCACTGGCCTAAGGGTTACCTTCCTCTGTGGGGAACCAAGGTGACTCATTTTTGCAAGCTTTTTCTTAGGGCCAGAATAGTTGCCAAATTTAGCTGGATGTGAGGCAGGGTTACCACTTGAGCCCAAGAGCTTGAGAGTAGCCTGGGTAATGTAGAAAGACCCCCTTCTCAAAACAAAAACAAAAATGGGTCTGAGAATGTGACTCAGTTAGTGGAGTCCTTGCCTAGCACACAAGAGGCCCTGGCTTCAATCCCCAGCACAAAACAGACTGGATGTGGTGGCGTGCACACCTATGGTCCCAGCACTTAGGAGGTTGGAGGCAGAGGGATCAGAAGTTAAACAGCCATCATTGGCTGCATAGCTACTTTGAGGCCACCCTGGCACACATGAAAACCTGTCTCAAAAACTAAACAGCAAAAACCCCATGATGAACAAACAAGAAACCATGAAGAAAAACAAAGCAACATTAAAAACCCAGGGTGCCCTGAATTTCAAATCCGTTTCTGTTTTCAGAGTAGTTCATTCAAAGACTGTAGCTCGGTGGTAGAATGCTGGCCTCACATACGGAAGGACCTAGGTTCAGTCCCCAGCATTCCCCAAATCTCATTCAATATACATTATCTAATGACCAATCCCGGAGAGAGGACAATGCTGGACAATCCCTGCTACCAACATGATATCCTAAGAATAACCCTCCTCTCTCCTGAGGAAGATCTCAAATGTGCTCTCCTCAGCTGGCTGGCCCTAGTGAAGGAGGACTGACTACCCCATACCACCAGAGGATATTGGGACTTTCTTGGCATGGGGCTTCAGAGGGAGCGTAGGCTGCCTTGTCACTCCTGACCAAATGGACCAGCCAGGCACCAACCTGCTGGGTCACTCTGCATACCCTTGGCCTGGTCTTTCAACATGTAGCTCACTCTCAGGCCCTCGCTGGGGGTGGGCCGGGAGTCCTCCAGTCTCTGACCTTACAGCCTAGTGAAAGTTCATCTCTGAAGGTTTCCCAGGGGTCCAGCCTGCTGAGGCCTCAGCTATGTTAAGAACGTGCTGGGCCACCTCCTCCCCCCACTCAAGGGTGTCTGTGCCTGGGATGTACCTTCCCCCTTCATCCATGAAGTGTCACAGATGTGACGGCTGCCTTTACCATGCTTGCTGGGTACCCTCCTTCTAGGCTGATGGCTTCCAGCAGCCACCGCGCTGCATGTGTGTTGTGTTGCCTGTGTCTTCTTCTTTAATCCTTGCTGGCCTCAAACTCAAGGCAATCCCTCTGCCTCAGCCTCCTAAATACTCGTATTACAGGTGTACCTCCATACCTCTACCTGCTGCTTTTGTTTGTTTGTTTTGTTAGGGTCTCACTACACAGCCCTGGCTGGTCTAGAATTTGATAGGTAGACCAGGTTGGCCTCTAACTCACAGAAATCCTCCTGCCTCTGCCTCCCCAATGCACTCACTTTCTGTGTGTTTAAAAAAAAAAAACATAAAGATATTTACTATTGCCAGGTGGTAGCACACATCTTTAATCCCAGCACTCAGGAAGCAGAGGCAGGTGGATCTCTGAGTTTGAGGCCAGCCTGGTCTACAGAGCAAGCAAGTTCCAGGACAGCCAGGGCTACACAGAGAGAAACCCTGTCTCAAAAACTATATATAAAGAGCCCAGGCATTTGCATGCCATATATACACATGGAGGTCAGAGGTCAACTCACAGGAGTCAGTTCTCTCCTTCCACCATGTGGATCCCAAAGATCAAACTATTGTCATCAGGCTTGTGTTAGGAGTGCACTAATCCATTGAACCACTCACTTTGCCAGTGCCTGTACCTGCCACCTCCTGAGCAGTTGTCCCCTGAGGGTGCACACCAGACCTTGCAATTATCACTTTCCAAAATATCTTGGGGAACCGGGGCATTACCTTCTTTTTGTGCTGTCTCCCGTTTCTGGAATCCTCCAACCCAGAGGGCCCCATGCTGCCGTGCTGGGCCTGTGCCTGGAGCTCAGTTAGAGCTCACTGAGAATGCCTGGGGCTCTGGCTTCCGCTCTCTCAAAGCATACATGGAAGGCTGCCTGGCTTCTGCAATGACAGATGTGACCGTGCCACTCTTGAGCCTTCTCATCATGGCGCCGGAACCTGGACCCTCGGCTATGAACACAGGGAGAAGATATGATTCTGGGAACATTCTTGCCTCCTGGCAAGCCTTGGGTGGTGGTGCCTCGGTGCATTTACCAAACTGTAGATAGAGGCAGTGACGGTCATCTCTCACCTAGTGCTGGCTCTGCCACTCAGCAAGGAGTCCTGAAAGAGCTGGTGAAGCTTTCTCCTTGCTTTTTCCTTACACCGGTCACACCAGGTTTTAAGGACTCAGCAGGTGGCAAGAGATCAGTGGTGCATGCTCCCTGGCCTCTCCAAGGGCAGTGATGGAGCTGCATCCAGGCTGAGCTTAGGTGGTCCTTCTGAAGTACTGTCCCTGCCCCCAGGGCCTATTGGACCCATGAAGAAGGTTCTGGTGGACAACCCCAAGAACCGGATGCTGCTTATTGAGAATCTTCGAGAATCCCAGCCCTACCGATACACAGTGAAGGCGCGAAATGGGGCAGGATGGGGACCCGAGAGAGAGGCTATCATCAACCTGGCCACACAGCCCAAGCGGCCCATGTCCAGTGAGTGATAGGCAAGGGTGGACTTGGGGGACCAAAGGCCATGGCTAGGGCCCTGGCTTACTTCTTTCTGCCCTGCAGTCCCCATCATCCCAGACATTCCCATTGTGGATGCCCAGGGTGGCGAAGACTATGAAAGCTTCCTCATGTACAGTGACGACGTTCTGCGGTCCCCAGCCAGCAGCCAGAGGCCCAGTGTTTCTGATGACACTGGTGAGTGGGGTCCACCAAAGGACCATGGGAGTCTCCGGTGGGGGTGGTTGTCCCTGGTATCCAGAGTGATCCAAGAAGCCAGTGACTTCTAGACATGGAGAACAAGAACAGAAGTCTCCTGTCAGCCTTAAACAGACATCCACAGCACATGGTTTTACATTGAGTGCACAGAGGGACAGAATGCTGTGGGCTACATGCTGGCATGTGTGCCCGCCTATGAGAGAATGTGGACATCTGCCTCAGGAACAGATATTCCCAGGTTGATGCCTGTACATACAGGTTCATGCACACAGGACAACAGCCTGCAGGTTCACCTGCTGTGCTAGGGAATTGGGACCCTCCAGCCACCTCTCAGAGGCTGGCCTGCGAGAGAGAGCCCTTAGCTGGGACCCCTTAGCAGGGTTCGATCTGGCTCTGAGGTGGAACCTTAGATGAATCAGTTATCCATCTCAGAACTGATTCGCTTTCTAATCTGTGAAATGAGATGCCACCAGGAAGAAGCCCCTTTCTGAACCTCAGGCCAAGGTGGGCACACATTGCCACCGCTTGGCATGCTAAATTGCTTCCCCACCCCCCACCCCCGGGGCTGGGAAGGATTTGAGTCAGGGTCTTGCTAGATTAACAACCTGGTTGACCTTGAAGTTGCTCCCTATAGACCCGGCTGCCTTCGAAGACCTAGCTGTCTTCCCGGTGCTAGGATCTAAACTGCTGCTCTAAAAACCAGGAACCCCTGATTAAATATTACTAGGGCTCCTTCAGCTAGCTATTCCTGGAAGACAGACAGGGGTGAGGTTACTTCCCTTTGTACAGAGCGGTTAAGCAACCAGGGAAACTTCACTCCGGGAGGCAGGACAAGGCTTTCTCCAGAATGGTCTTTCTGCCTGAGCAGAGGCCACAACTGCACGGTTTATCTGCAAAGGCTGGAGCAGGCCGAGGGGTTATTTTTTTTGTCGACCAAAGGGACACTCACAACCCTGGACTCCGCCTAAGTGCCGCAGATCTCCTCCTCCTCCTCACCCTCCCCAGCGCCGCCCGCGGCGTCCCGGCGGTGCCAACGCGGCCCTTCGTTGTTCCCAAGGCTGCGGCTGGAAGTTCGAGCCCCTGCTCGGGGAGGAGCTGGACCTGCGGCGCGTCACGTGGCGGCTGCCCCCGGAGCTCATCCCGCGTCTGTCCGCCAGCAGCGGGCGCTCCGACGAAGACGGCAGCGTTGCGGGGGGCACGGACGGGGAGGGCAGCGGCTGGATCCGTGGGGCATCGCCCCGGCCCCCGGGAGGTGACCGCCTCCCCGGCGCGCCTGCGCGGGTCCTGGGCTCACTTGAGTCGCTTCAGGCCCCCAGTTTTGATCAAGCCGTCCACTAGAGTGCCCCGCATGTCCAGGACCTGCCTGTCTGCGTGCAGACGAACCTAGGGAACCGAGGGCGCCACGGGGGCGCTTGGGCTCTCCCCAGGGGAGGATAATGCAGGGACCTACAGGAACTGGAAGGCAGCCTTGGGCCAGTCACTGCAGGGGAGTGAGCTCCTGGCTGAGGCTGCTAACTGTGCTCGGGTGGAGGACAGTATGGCGCAAGAAGACAGGCTTGGAAGACTTGTATAGTCCGGTTTGCCTCTGGGTCCTAGTAGTTTGAGAAATTGGCTATAAACATAAGGCTGCCCTCTGCATCCCCAGGGCCACAGCCCGCCCCATATGACCTGTCACTTGCTGTAGGCCTCACTGACCGACCTCTCTCTCCATGCAGAGCACCTGGTGAACGGCCGGATGGACTTTGCCTATCCAGGCAGTGCCAACTCTCTGCACAGGTTGACCGCGGCCAATGCTGCCTACGGCACACATCTGAGCCCACACCTGTCCCACCGAGTGCTGAGCACATCCTCCACCCTCACTCGGGACTACCACTCTCTGACCCGCACAGACCACTCTCGCTCAGGCACACTTCCGCGGGACTACTCTACCCTCACTTCAGTTTCCTCCCAGGGTGAGTGACCCTGCCTCCTTCACCCACTGACCTTTCTGCATTCCACCTCCTGGACAGCTGCTGGCCTGCTGCCCATACTGCATACCACCTTACACACACACACACACACACACACACACACACCACATACACACACACCACACACACACACACACACACACACACACCACACACACACTGCCCTCCTCACTCTTGTTTTGTCCTGCCCTAGGCCTCCCTCCTATCTGGGAAGATAGGAGGAGCAGGCTTCCGCTGTCTTGGACCCTTGGGTCCTGGAGCCGGGCTCAGATGAAGGGTACCCCCGCATCCAGGGGTTCACCAGACTCAATAATCCTGGCTGGGCAGTCAGCAGCACCCTCCAGGGGTACAGGTAGTACAGGGGTGGTCACCATGTATGTGTGGCTGCCACGCTCCATCTGCCACCCAGCCACCGTCACAGCCGGTGTCCATGCACTGCCTTAGCTTCATTGCAATTCAGAACCCCTGTCCACCCACAGGAGCTAACCACTGCCCTACCCTCACCAGTGCTAGAGCCTAACACAGCATCCGCTGCTCTCCTGGGGCATAAAGCAAGAACTGGGCAAGGAGCAGGGCCAGCTGAGTGGGCTGGGGTTTCTAGCAGACTCAAGGGGACTCCAACCCCATAAGGGAAGGGTTGGGCAGCCTGGACAGGGTGGTGCCCAGGCTGGAGAGGCAAGCCGAGTGAGCAAGGGGTAGACTGACTCATCCCGCCCCAAACCCTGTCTTGGACTGACTGTAGCCTTCAATATCCAGAGTCCCATGGGGCCGTGGGTGTGCCCGACACACCCACTCGGCTGGTGTTCTCCGCCCTGGGGCCTACATCTTTGAAAGTGAGCTGGCAGGAGCCACAGTGTGATCGAGTACTACTGGGCTACAGTGTGGAGTACCAACTACTAAATGGCGGTGAGACAGGGTCACTCTCGGCTGTAATGCTCCGTCCCAGGCGTGTCCCATCTCAGTTGTGCAGGAACCCACCCAGCTATTCTCCTCGTCCCCACCCCTCACTACCATAACCTTGGGGCTTCATCCACCTCTCTGGGCTTCTACTATCCATTTCCTAAACTAGGCTCTGCTTCATGAGGCTTTACAGACCCAGGGCCTCTGCTAACTTGAATCGCCTGGGTGACAACTGGGAAATGGAATACACCCGAGCATACACACTCAAGGCAATGCTGAGTGAGGCTTTTTACCAGAGCACAGGGTTTGACCAGAACCCCAGGGGGACAGCAGCTTCCACTTAGCTTGGATGTTTCTTTTCTTCTTTTAGCGCGGGGGCTCAAACCCAGAACTTACATGCTAAGTAAAAGCTCTAGCACCATACCCCTAGTCAACAACCCACCACAGTTCACTGTACCCAAACCCCAGGCAGACCTGGTTAAATGGTCGGGTGTTGACAGCCTAAGGAAAGGGAGGGATCAGGGAAGGGGCAGGGGTAAAGGTGGTCAGTGTCCTCTCCTCACTCCTCCTCATAGGCGAGTTGCATCGGCTCAACATCCCTAACCCCGGCCAAACCTCAGTGGTGGTGGAAGACCTCCTGCCCAACCACTCCTATGTGTTCCGAGTGCGGGCCCAGAGCCAGGAGGGCTGGGGCCGTGAGCGAGAGGGTGTCATCACCATTGAGTCACAGGTGCACCCGCAGAGCCCTCTCTGCCCCCTGCCAGGTGAGCTGCCTGCCCCCTGCTGCTCCCTAGGTCACCACCCACCTATACCGCTTACCCGCTGACATTCTCCCTCTACTGCCTCCAGGCTCAACCTTCACCCTGAGCACCCCCAGTGCCCCAGGCCCGCTGGTGTTCACTGCCCTAAGCCCAGACTCGCTGCAGCTGAGCTGGGAGCGGCCTCGGAGGCCCAATGGAGATATCCTTGGCTACCTGGTGACCTGTGAGATGGCCCAAGGAGGAGGTGCCAGCTGTCCTGGAGGTAGGGTGGTTGTGGAGGGGTTGAAAAGCACCACAGGAGCTGAAGGCGTCTTCCCTATGTAGGATCAGCCACCACATTCCGGGTGGATGGAGACAACCTTGAGAGCCGGCTGACAGTACCCGGTCTCAGTGAGAATGTTCCTTACAAGTTCAAGGTGCAGGCCAGGACAACTGAGGGCTTCGGGCCAGAGCGTGAAGGCATCATCACCATTGAGTCCCAGGAAGGAGGTGGGCTGTCTCCCCACCCTCACCCCGTCCTTCTCTGGCCTGCCTTTGCATGGTACCATCCTGACTGTCTGATCTGCCTGTTCTAGGCCCTTTCCCGCAGTTGGGCAGCCACTCTGGGCTTTTCCAGAACCCTCTGCAAGGAGAGTACAGCAGCATAACCACCACTCACAGCACGACCACGGAGCCTTTCCTCATAGGTGAGTCACCGAGGACAGGGGACCTGGACTCCTGGGAACAGAGCCAGGGCAGAGAGGGGCAAGGACCTACACATGGCCCTTCTGATTTCTTCCCTTGCAGACGGACTAACCCTGGGATCCCAGCGCCTCGAAGCAGGGGGCTCCCTCACCCGGCACGTCACCCAAGAATTTGTGAGCCGGACACTGACCGCCAGTGGATCTCTCAGCACTCACATGGACCAACAGTTCTTCCAAACCTGAAACCCCCAGGAACCCGGGCCCCTCCTTGCCTTCTCTCCCTAGCTCCTTCTTCCTCTGCTGCTCCACCCACCTTCATGCTGACCACAGAGCCAGCCCCTCTAGCGAGAGAGCAGGGGTAGGTGCCCTCTGGGAAGCATGGAGCAGGTACAAGGCCTGACTGCATCCCGCCCTGGGTCCAAACCCACATGTAACCAAAGAACTGGAGGCGGCTCAAAGACCCAGCCTTTGTTCTGCACTTAATAAAAGACTTTGCTACTGCTTAGCTGCCCTGTTTGTCCTTCTTCATAGGCCAGAAAGGTGTCGGCCTGCAATAGAACAATTATTCTCGAAATGCCCAGCCTTTGACCCGAGTGTGTACCCACCTCCAGAGGCAGGTGGCCCCAGAGGCTACCGCCGTCCACAGAGACAGGCACAAGTTTATTAAGCACCCAGCTGTAGAATGAGGATGCCAGAGGCAGACCGCAGCGTACACCTGCTGCCTCCGCCCTACGTCTGTGTGTCCATCAGGCGCAGGAACGCCTCACAGGCTCAGCACCTGGGCTCCGTCGGCAGCTTGAGAGAGGTAGAAGGTGGCTGTGCCACTGTACTGCTCCTGGGGGAGAACCGGGACTGAGAAACAGGTGACCTGGGTGCCCCGCCCTCCTGCCCTCCTGCCCTCCTGCTCTGGTGACCACCTACCTGTATGTGATCCATGGCGAGGGAAGCAGCAGAGGCCTCCAGCAACGTTACTGTGCAGCCACCAAAGCCACCACCTGTCATGCGACTGCCATAGACTCCAGGCACCGAGAGAGCAGCCTCAACCAATTGGTCCAGCTCAGGGCAACTTACCTCAAAGTCATCCCTGCAAAGGGTATAGGAGTGAGAGGGACATAGACCTGGGACCCGCCTATGCCCCCAAAGCACAAGACATCCAGTAGGGCCTCACCTGAGTGAGTAATGACTCTCCACCATGAGACGCCCAAAGGCCCTATAGTCTCCACGGCTCAGAGCAGCCGCTGCCTGGGCTGTTCGCCGGATCTCGCCTACCACGTGCCGGGCCCGCCGGAAGCCTTCCTTGCTTATCAGCTCCCTGCCCGCTGAGAAGGAACAGGGTTTAGCAGCCCCGATTTATGCTACCTGGTAGCTCAGGTATGGGAAACCTGGTAGGCAGTGGCCAACCACTTAGTGGACAGCTGCTTACTGAACCGTCCTTGGTAATGGGTTTCATTATCCCAGGCCCAGTTCTAAAGGGCCCTCCTCATCTCAGAGCTCTCTTTCTCACTGTAAAATGGGACAACTACATCTATCCATCACTTTGAGATGCACAGAAAACTACAGGAAATTGCATGCTGGGCTCACCACAGGGAGCCAGTATAGAGAGCTCAATACTGTGAGCCCGTTAACTTTCAGGGCTTTCAAGATGAATAGGGCAAAGTGCAGGCTTTGAGATCTTTCTCTACATAGCCTTAGCTGTCCTAGAACTCACTATGTAGTCCAGGCTGGTCTCAAACTCAGAGATCCAGCTGCCTCAGCCTCCTGACTGCTGGGAGTAAAGGTGTGCACCACTACGCTTGGTCTGAAAGGACAAGCTTAGCATTTCAAGCAGGGCAGGAACATGGCTCTCTGGCAGAGCACTTGCTTGGCACCTTCAAGGCCCTGGGTTCTAGTCCCATCAATGCCAATTCTTTTGATGAATGGACCTAGGGGTTGAGGGAATGGACAGCAGGCCCTATGGACATCCATCCCAGCAGGGAGCCTGGCCATTTCTAGGACAGAACATGGTAAGCTGGCTCTCACCCTCAAGCTCCTCGAACCGCACCTCTCGAAGGCTCTCCTTGCCCAGAGCCTGGGCCACTTCTTCACACTGGCGCCGCCGAATCGGATACTCACTGGAGCCCAGGGCATGGCGGACATTGGAGTTAGTGATGAGCACAGCCAGCTTGGGGTCTGACAGAGGCACCAGGCTTGTTTCCAGGGACCTGGGGTGAATGGAGTTGGAATGAGGGAGATACTGTAGCCAAGGTTCTGCTTGCAGACAAAACAGAGGACACGCCCCACTTGGGAGCTCCTGGTTACAAGGTGAGGGATACGAGGGGAGCCCCTGACCTGCAGTCAATCAGTAGTGCATGGCCTTTCTGCCCCAGCAGTGCGATGAGCTGATCCATGATGCCACAGGGCACCCCTGCGAAGCTGTGCTCAGCCCGTTGACACACCTGGGCCCGGGCAGCTATGGCTCCCGAGTCTGAGGAACAGGGTGAGGTGGGGAAGCTGGGGTCCAGGGAGGGCACAGGGTGTCGCCACAGCGGGATAGCAGGGCTCTAATGACAGTCAAAGGGACTCCCCACCCTGCCTCCCTAAGCCCAGTCAGGGAAGAGGCTCTGAGCACAAAGGCCTCTGAGAAGGAAGACGGGGCTAAGCCATACCTGGGCAGAGCTGCTGGAGGAAGGTGTAGGTGGCCACTTCCAGAGAAGCTGAGCTGGAAAGCCCACCCCCCAGGGGCACTGAGCTGACCACCACTGCACTGAAGCCAGGGAGGGGAGCAGCTGAGGGAAAGAACAGTGCTGGTGAGATGAGATTCGGGGACTGTGGGCAGAGGCAGGACATATGTCTCACCAACCTGCCAACTCAAGAAGCCCACCCACCCTTCCGAGGCTACCCTCTGAGTTTGCTGGGGTAATCTTCCTCCTTGTCTTCCTGATCTGGGGTTCTGGGGACCAGCAAGCTGACAGCTGAATTCTGGCTCCTCTAATCATATAAATGAAACACAGGGCAAGTTCCAGAGCTTCCAGGGCCTCGGATCCCTTATCTGTACAATGGGATACCTCCACCCTGGATGAATGGACTTCATAGTGGGGAAATGGCATTCCCAGTAGCAGCCTGGGTCTCATACCTGGGTAGTGTTGAATCACTCCCTTGACATAATTGGCCCATTGTGGGGTTCCAGGCTCCAAGGACCGCAGGGCTGTGGGCAGTGGGAATTGCAGTCGCTGGGGCTCATCTGCATTCTTGGAGGTGGTGAGAAGAGAAACAAGCCCATCTGTCCGGGGGCTGCCAACCAGCACGGTCACAAGCTCCAGAGCCTAAGAGAGAGGGTGTGTCATCTATGTCAGCTGACAGAATAAGGACATCCAGGGCCACAACATAACTACAACATTTATTTTTGGTTTTTGTTTGCTACTTTTTATGGTGGGTTTTTTTTTTTGTTTGTTTGTTTGTTTTTCTAGACAGGGTTTCTCTGTGTAGCCCTGGCTTTGCTGGAATTCACTCTGTAGACCAGGCTGGCCTCGAACCCACGAAGATCTGCCTGCCTCTGCCTCCAGAGTGCTGGGACTAGTAAACGTGAGCTGTCACTCCCAGCCCACAAACCGTGAGTACACTGAGGGGAAGGCTTGTGGATGGGTGGAACACCCCACTGCAGGTAGGAAACTCGTCTTTGAGGTTCCAGAACTTGCCTGGGTCTCCCCAGGGTGACTCAAAACTCAAGGTTCTGTTGGCTGGCCTTGGGGAAACAGGATCAGCTTGAAGGGAATGAGGTGAGGCTCAAGAAAGATCTTCAGTATAGAGCAGGCCATGGGGCTGAGAGTCCAGCCTCCTTGGTCTTCAGGGCGGGGCCAGCTGCAGCCAGAGCTCAAATCTGAACTCTGCCCGGAGCACTGCTCCCAGCTGAGGGCCAAAGGGGACAGATAGCGCGTATCTCAACTATCTTAGACAAAAACAGGGCCAGAGAGGCTCCAGGCTTCCCATCTGGAGCCAGCTCATTCAGGAGCTACACAAGGGAGCAGACAGAGACCCAGGCTGAACCCCTGTAAGGAATCACTCACTTCACATACCAAGAACCAGCTGTGTGACTTTGAGCACGTCACTACTGTTTCCTCTGTAAATTCATAGGGCCTGCTGGGCAAGGAGGTCTGTGCTGTAGGCCCAACCAAAGTCAGGGAACTGAACAACCTCCTTTTTTTTTTTTTTTTTTTTCTTGTTTTGCGGATAGGATCTCACTCTGAAGCCCGGACTGGCTTTTGAACTCGCCATTCTCCTGCCTCAGCTTCCTGGGTACTGGGATTATTAGGCCATCATGCCTAATAAACTCCTATATTGCTACTTTGGTCCTCACATTTTTGAGAGCCACATACTTCCAATTTGAGGGCGATGATTAACAGTCCCCAGAGGGCGGGCTGGAGTGAGAAGACAAACACACCCCTCCCAGCTTCGGCTTCCTGTCTTCACACGTGGACAACTGCACGTCCCGGGGTCGCTCACGTGTGCTGGACCCCCTCACTCCGCCTTCCACCGGGAGAGCGCTCGCCCTCCCGCTCCTCCTAAGCTAGCCCTTTCCCTACCGCAGGCTGGCCCACTGCACCCTAGGCTCCCCGATGCGGCCCCTCACCATGGGCAGCACCAGGCCCTGGTTGTAGTCCGTGTGCTCCCCGATGAGGTTGACGCGGCCCGGCGCGGACACGGCCAGCTCCGGCTCAGCTCCGAACTCCTCCAGGAAGGCCCGCCGGGCCTCGGCCAGCAGCTCCTCAACCTTAGCAGCTGTCCAGCGCCTGCAGGCTCAGGCAGCTGACAGCCAGAGGAAGAGACCCAGGTGAAATTCTGTATCCTGGGGGCGTCTTCTCAGGACTTTGGGGGCTCCCACTTGAGTGGCAGTTAACGCGAATGGAGATCTTAGCTGTCCATCCCTGAACCTGGAGCCTCTTAATGCGCTCCCCAAGGCCACCAACCCCCCTCCCCCCAGCACAATCAGGGCAATGGAGCTGGCAACAGGAACACCTGAGTGTCCTAAAAGGATCTGCCTCTGAGGTCGTCAGAGCGAATAGTTATGCAAAGTCGTCAGTCCCTGACCATGCGTCTCTAACAGGATAAACAAAAGACAGCCAAGCTTGAAAGTGACCAGAGAAGGCACCTTTTCCAGGCTCTTTTTCTGGCTCCTATAGATGGAGAACTGAAGGAGGATGCCAGTGGCCAGAAGCAAGTCCAGGCCCTCTTCAAAGGCCCAACGGCTATTGCAAAATTAGGCTATTTTGTTGGTTCCTAGCAAGGTCTTCCTCCATGAGAGCAGACAGGACCATCTGTCTCCATTCTGGCCCAGATCTTTGCCTGGATGCCTGTCTACACATGCTCACCTTCTGTGAAATCTTGTAACGGAAGGACTGAAATATAAGGAAAGTAGCCCGTCTGGGATTGCAGAGGGAGCATGGTGGAGAACTGTGACCCCCATGCAGCTAGGAGTCAGCTCGGAAGTCTGTCCACAGATTGCACAATTGCTTTCAAAACGAAGCTTAG